TTCTTCGAATCAGGTACGCCATTCTGATTTTTCTCTCAATCTCAGCAGCTACAAGTTTTCGATCTCGTTATTTTCAGCTAGATATGGCACAGAAATTTTTGAGTTAGTGGTTTCAAATCTTACGCTAAGGAATAACGACACGGGAGCTTGAATTGTAGAGTAGAAGATGGCTCGAGTAGAAGGGCTTTGGGAGCGGCTGGTACGTGCTGCCATAAGGAGTGAGAGAATTGGTGTAGATGCACTTGGTCAACCTGTTGGTGGAATTGCTGGATACGTTCCTTCTTCTCTTGCCAACAATAGGGATATAGAGGACATTCTAAGAGCTGCCGATGAGATTCAAGATGAAGATGCTAATGTCTCCAGAATATGTAAGATTTTCTGGACATTCTTTCAGTTATGGATGGTTTTATGTGGTACTTTAATGGAAGATGTAAATGGTTTGGCACTGCTGATTTGTTTGCAGTATGTGAGCACGCTTATTCTCTTGCACAAAATCTGGATCCTAATAGCGAAGGAAGAGGTGTTTTACAATTCAAGACTGGTTTGATGTCTATCATCAAGGTATCTTATAGCGAAGGAAAAATTCCCTTGAATGATTTTGCAAATTTTACTGTGTTTATGCACTGATACTGAAGTGTGTTCATTCTATTTGAATGCTATTTTGACTTATATTTGGCTGTATGCCATAGCAACCTTTAGGATTCGGATTACTTTCCTAAAGTTCAAATGCAAAGAGCGCATTATTTCTGCTGCTTTATTTTCTCTTCTTTTAACTCATAGGAAATGAATCTGAAGTGATTTTCTTTATGATTATATATTTATTAATGTGCTGACGTGTTTGTTTGCATGTATTGATGTATTTTGAGGATATTTTAAATATTCTGTTTGTTCTGAATTTCAATATTTAATTTCTTTAAAATCCATCAGACATGAGATGTGGTTCTTGTATGTCATTCTCTAATCTCACTTTTTTCTACTTGTCCTTTTGAACTGATTTTCAGCAAAAGCCAGCCAAGAGAGAGGCTGGTGTTATAGATAGAAGCCAGGATGTTGCTCACCTGCAAGAGTTCTATAAGGCTTATAGAGAAAGGAACAATGTAGACAAGCTACGTGAAGAAGCAATGAAATTGAGGGAATCTGGTGTTTTTAGTGGTAGCCTTGGGGAGTAAGTATCTAATATTTAAAATCGGGATTTGGGGGGTTTCTTCAAAGTTCTGTTAACAGTTTAACATGAAAAGTTTTTGCTCCCCTCTCCACCACTCTTAACATACACATGAATAGATTGGTGACGATTTACTAGATCCACTGGATATGTAGTTTTTTCTCTGTATTGTTTTTCTGTTGATTGCATTTTTGTTTTGAAAATCTAGGTTGGAGCGGAAAACTGTTAAGAGGAAAAGAGTTTATGGGACCCTAAGAGTTTTGGGAATGGTATTGGAGCAGTTAACAAAGGACATCCCTGAAGAGGTTAGTTATGTTGTCTTCTTCTGTCAATTTCTTTGGTTTTCCTATTATTTCTAAGCCTCCATCCAAGAATGACTTTAACTTTATCCTTGACTAAGCTAAGAGGAAATTGGCTGGGTGGAAGGCTAAATTCCTCACTCCTGCAGGCCATATCACCCTCATTAACTTAACTCTTTCTGCCCTTCTATCTCACATCATGCAATGTTGCCTCCTTCCAATTAGTACCTCCAAAGCTCTTGACAAACTCTCCCGTGATTTCCTATGGCAAAATGACCCTTCCAAGTGCAAAATGCATCTTGTTAGCTGGAAAACTGTTTGTAAAAAAAAAATAGAGGGAGGTTTGGGTCTTCGATGATGTCGGGACTTAAACATTGCATATATGACTAAGCTTGTTTGGAGATTTATGACCTCACACTCAACACCTTGGTCTGATCTTTTATGAGCTCATTATGGACCTTCCCCCTCTGCCAAGTCCTCTCACATTTGGATATCAATGATCAAGTGCTGGCATTTTTTTAGTCAAGGGATTCGATGGACCCCCAATGATGGTAAATCAATCAATTTTCTTTTTGATGACTGGTTGCCATCAGGGCCACTCAGTACAGCCATTCATGGACCCCACTCACTGCAAGATTATTCCCTCTTGGTTGCTGATGCTACTGCCTTCCTCACCTCCTTCGGTGAGCTGCACGTCCAGCTCCCTCCATTACTTGACAGAACCATCCAAACCACCCTTTTACTATCTAGCCAAAATACCTCAGACACCTTTCATTGGAAACTCACCCCTAATGGAAGCTTTTCCTTAAGCTTCGCCTATTCCATGATCGCTAATACTGAGCCTAATTCCAACTGGGATTGGCTTGGAAGGTTAAAACACTTCCCAAGATCTCTTTCTTCATTTGGCTTCTTGCCCACAACTCAATTCCAACAAGAGCTACCTTTGCTACTAGAGGCCTTTAAATTCCTAATACTTGCCCAAGATGCTCATCCCTTGAAACCCCATTACATGCTCTTCGCAACTGTCCCTTCATCCTTTCCTTTTGGCAATCTACCCATTTTCCTGGTACTCTCCGATCTTCTTTTTCACTCTCACTCCTTGATTGGATCAAGATCAACTGCTCTTCGAAACTCTTTTTTTTTTGGCCCAACACTCTCTTGGTCATCGGTTTTCTGCTTCCTTCTCTAGCATATATGGCTTGATCGTAACCAACTTTGTTTTCGAAATACGTCTCATATTGGATCTATTCAGCATAAATCATTAAGTCTTGCAGCTGAGTTTTGGAGCTCTAGGAATCATATTGTCAAAAGGATCTCTAGTGATTTCATTGTGATCTACTAGACAAAACCACCTATGAATTTCATCAAGATCAATACGGATGGTTCGGCGCTTGGAAATCCTACACCATCCGGCGCTGGGGCTGTTCTACGTGATGACTCAGGTTCTTGGATTGTGGGATATGCTCTTAATCTAGGCATAGGTACCAATACAAATGCAGAATTCTAGGGAATTAAGCAAGGCCTTGAACTAGCTCTTGAGAGAGGATTTAGGAGGATTATTCTTGAATCTGATTCCATTTTTGCAGTGAACAGCTTGAATAATCAACATTCTTGCGGGGTTCATCTCCCCTTATTTGATTCTTACAGATCTTTTCTCAGTCTATTTGATGAAGTACAGATAACTCATGTTTATAGAGAAGGCAACCAAGTTGCAG